GAAAACAAAGGGTTGGTTAGGCACTATGAAGTTTTGGATGCAAATATGTGTTTTTAAAAATAAGGAAGGATTGCTTCAGGAAATTCCAAACGAATCCTTTGCAAATATCTGACTTAAATAAGTGACTCAAAAGATAAGTCAGATTGGCATTGATCCTGATTATTTATTTTCCAGGGGTATGTCATCAGCATTTAATTGTATCAAACAAAGGTGATGGGATAATTCGGTACAGGAATTAATTGCTAAAGCCAAAGTGTCGTGTTCACCTGTAACTTTTGGAATTAATTACAAATATATTTTTCAACAAATATTTGAAAAGCTTATATTTAACTAAATACAGAATAGCCTTTTCCAAAGCCAGATTAAATGTATTGCCATCAAAAGTGCTATGTGGTGGATTTCAAAAAATTCCCATCTCTCAAAGATTTTGCCCCTGTAATGGTACTGATCCTGAAACGGTGGATTATATTTTATTGTATTGTGAATTTCATAACAGTCTTTGGCAGGAGGTTATCTGGCTGATTTTAAAATCTAAACTAGGAGGAGATATTTCTGAGTATGTAAAAAACTTACTTGCAGATGAAAATCCTGAGATTACGGTGGCAACAGCCAGATTTTTAACTATGGCTATAAAAACAAGGTTTTTAGTAACAAATCAGTGAGTTGGGGCTTTAAATCTATCATGTAATATGTATTAAATATTTTATTTGTTAAACTATAAATAATCTAGTGCCAAGTCTAGATTATATTTGTAACTTGCTTTTGGGCCTTTAGGCTCTAAATAAAAACTAACAAACTGAAATATATTATTTAATAGCTTTTGGAAAATGCGAGAGATTTTCTGTCAGTTTGGAGTCATGTGTTTCACTTTGCTGATGACGCCCAGGTGTACATTGTTACCCCAGGGTTAGAGTTGGTGAGGTTTTGAATTGGTACCTGGCGGCTGTGGGGGACTAGATTAAAACTCAAGCTCAGATTAAACCCTACCAATAATCAGAACTGCTGTCTTGTGGCTAGCTTATGGCCATCCATCCACTTTGAGCCTGGTAGTCGGTCTTGATGGGGCCAAGCTCCCCCTGAAGA